CCAAAAGATTTCCCCAGGGAACAGTCACCCTTTTGAAAGTTCCAGGCTGAACCAAGTGGACGAAGGAGGTGTGTGTGTGTGGGGGGTATAATTTGTGATGTGTGTTTGGGGAAATATTTATACTTATTGTTTTAAGGTTTTAAGGTTTTCTAAATGGCTGCCTGGTTATTTTACATGCATTATTGGTGGTTATTAGTGGAGGACTTTTACATTAGTTTGGGGAGGTCTTATGTTGAGGCACACCCCTCCTAGTTTTTAATAGTTCTTCCTAGTTAGGTTTGAGCCCTTTAAAAGGAATTCGGTTCCTTTACTGAAGGTTTGGCTCGTGCTGCTTGTTCTGCCTCCTTGGAAGTGAAAATAGAATTTTAGCACTTTGGTTTTTGGGGTTGCCTGCCTTCCATCGGTTTCTGGTTGTTGCTGTCCGGGCCACATCACCATTCTGGACACTTCTGATTTTTTTGTTAATCGTTTTTTTTTTATTATTGTTTTTCCCTCTCTGCCTTTCCCTCCTTTCATTCAATTTACCAGGAAGGCTGGTTGATTTTATCACCGTGTCTAAATGCCATCAGATGCATGATAAGCTTGGAGGAAATGCTGTCTTTACAAACAGAGTACTGACCTCCTGCTGAGAGGAAAAAATATGAAAAAGATTCTTTTCAACCTGTTAAGAATGGCTGGAAGGTCCAGCTTCAGTCCAGGGTTCATCCAGGTATTCCCACCGCGGTACCACCTGGTTCCCAGTCAGTTGGCTTCTGGTTCCTGCAGGGAAAATTCAATATAGCTCCAACTCACAACATTTCATCTCATTATGGTCTGTCAAAGCAGATAGCTCCACCTACAGGATGGGCTGTTGGGGTCTGACTCGGACTCTAATCTCCCCAGCAGCTCGAGGACCTGATTGCACTGTAGAGGACAATGAGAGGAATCTGATGAGTGAGGAGCCGTCCAGTGACCTGGAGTGTGAAGAGGCGGGGGCTCCTGATTAGGCTCTTTGGTTTGAGAGTATAATTGTAGCGGTTGGCTGTAGCCTGATGATGATTTCTCCCCAGCATGTCGGGACCGTCGCCCAGTTCAGAACCAGACATCAGGCCAATTTGTTTTGATTATTCCGTTCCTCTAAAAGGAGAGAGAGACGCGAACATCATTGATGATCCTCACCTATAATCAGTTCACTGCAGTTTCTCATTAGCAGCTGGAGATATGCTAAGCAACACTTCACCACTTTATTATTTATTCCCTTTTCCTACTCAGACGTTTGTTCTGATCATTTTCTCAGAGTATCATTTTACTTTTATTTGCATTTTTATTTAACCCTCATTTAAAGCTTTATTATTCACGGTGATAAAACACTAAGGTGTTTGCTTCTAAATAATTAGCATAATATCCATCCACCAGGGTGGGGTCATTGGGGTCAGTGCCTACCTCTGGCAGTCTGTGGATGAGAGGCGGGGCCACTCTGGACAGGTCACCAGTCTGTCGCAGGGCTATTTGGGTAACATTTCTGTAGGTTCTTTTTTTTTTAAGTAATAATGCAGGAGGAGGTTCTCTCTGGGTACTCCAGCTTCCTCCCACAGTCCAGAAACATGACTGTTAGGTTAACTGGCTTCTCTAAATCCTCCTTAGGTGTGCGTGTGAATGGTGGTTTGTCCTGTTTGTCTCTGTGTTGCCCTGCGATGGACTGGTGACCTGTCCAGGATGGACCCCACCTCTCGCCTGCAGACAGCTGGAGATAGACACCAGCACCCCTCACCAACCTGCATGGGATTAAACGTGTTAGAAGATGGATGGATGGATGGATGGATGGATGGATGGATGGATGGACGGACGGACGGACGGACGGACGGACGGATGGATGGATAATGCAGGAGGAGACAAAGTTTCAATATAAAGCAGAATCATTCTATGAGCAGCAGAACATGTCTGGAACAAACAGGACTTTCCTACTTACTGAAACCAGAACCTCTCCTCATCCTCAGCACATCCCACACGCCTGTAGAAGGCCTCCTGTGTTACTGCAGTTTAACATGACCTCCTTTATCCAGATGACATCCCTTAAGTAATCTCTAATCCAGTCTCTAGTCCAGTCTCTGATTCAGTCTCCTATTCAATCTCTGATCAAGTCTCTCATCCAGTCTCTGGTCCAGTCTCTCATCCAGTCTTTGGTCCAGTCTCTCATCCAGTCTCTGGTCCAGTCTTTGGTCCAGTCTTTGGTCCAGTCTCTGGTCCAGTCTCTGGTCCAGTCTCTCATCCAGTCTTTGGTCCAGTCTCTCATCCAGTCTTTGGTCCAGTCTCTGGTCCAGTCTCTCATCCAGTCTCATGTCTGGACTCTCATCCAGTCTTTGGTCCAGTCTTTGGTCCAATCTTTGGTCCAGTCTCTGGTCTAGTCTCTCATCCAGTCTTTATTCCAGTCTCTCATCCAGTCTTTGGTCCAGTCTTTGGTCCAGTCTTTGGTCCAATCTTTGGTCCAGTCTTTGGTCCAGTCTTTGGTCCAGTCTCTG